GGGGGGGTATAGAGTATGAGCTTCAAGGGGAAGGCATGGCATGCTAAGTTATATCCTTACTTTGTAATATAGATCGTGCTTGTTCTGATGCAAAATACAAGTAACAATCTTTTAAGATTGGGGAGGCAGGAGTGGGACTGAGTTTGCCCTCGGGGAGGTGGGGGTGGAGGGGTGTCCTGTTTGTTTTAGATCATCTCTGTTTGTGCCACTCAGGCTGAGAGTAATCACTAACAGACTGAGTAATATCAGACTGTAAATAAAATTTCAAATGCGAAGAACCAGAGAAAATGTTAAAAGAGAGATGACAGGAACGGAGCAGATGAGCCAAACTCATTTGCAAAATAGAGATCTGCACTGTGGAAGATTGGAGAGGAAGACCAGAAAGATTCCCCAATTCAAACCAACTGTTGGACCAAGTGAGCTATGGGATTTCCAGGAAGAGGAGGGAGAGCAAGATTCACGAGTGAAAATGAGAGAAAAAGAACAGCAATGTGATCCAGCGGAATCTGTGATTATACTGTTGAAAATAATTCGGGTGATGCTGAAACTATGGTAAAGAGAGTAAGCAGAAAGTGTCTGAACATGTACAAAGGTGCAGTGTTGTGGCTTTGCTTGCATAAAACATGTGCCAGTGTATCTGTTGGCAGCAGTTTGAGGTGGTGAAGGGGAATTTTTCTCGGACTTTCCTTCACGTTGGCTACCATAAGATTGCAGAGATTCCTGCAGGAGCATGCAACATCAGCATCCAGGAGACCAAAAAGAGCCAAAATTATCTGGGTACACAGACACACACACACACACACACACACACATAACCATATCTAATAGCACAAGTATTTCCAGAATGACAAGCACCAATGCAGTAAACAATCGTGGGGATTTTCCAGCTCTGCTCAGCCAACGTGGTGTCTCCATCATCAACGGAAACTGGCTAATCAATAGACCCGGGATCTACGTTGCTCTGGGAACATATCTGACATATCGACGACCCAATGAGATCCGGTCTCGTAATGGAGAGTCCATCACTGCACCGGGGCCGCTGACTGAGGACCTGCACGTCTATGTGAGATGGAAAATGAAAAACACTGATCTGACAAAGTTGCCCATAAAAATTAAAAACAATTTGAGCTTCAAACAATTTGAGGTTATAAAAGTGCCAATTTAGTTTCTTTATATGTCTGACAAATTATCAGAATTAAAAGTAGCAAATAAATATACCTTCCAAGGAGTCCTATTAAGATTTGCAAATACAAATAGTATAAAAAATACTACTTATTGGATGCCATTCATCTTTTTTTCTTTCTTTTTCACAGCTGATTTACCAACAACCATTTCCTACTGTGCAATATGAATACAGCATGCCTTTAAACCGATACCTAGCTCCTGAGCCCGGTACACCTTCTGCTGTTCTTCCCCTGGGTGAGTAAACTCACTAACATGCATAAGCACACAAGCTGTATTTGAGTTACTCAGTATGGCCACAGTGTCAGTATCTCATTATCAGGACTATGGTTTACCCTCAGACAGCATGTGCCCTTTTTTGGCTTCTCTTTGTGTTTGGATAAGATCGCACTGCAGGGTGACACCGTTTCGTATCGTTTTCAGCAAAACTGTTCATTTGATCATTTGATTAGGGTTTAATTGACATTGTTGATACAGGTCAAACCTTCTCCTGGCAAAGAGCCCTTTGCCACACACTGAGACAAGATAAGCTGTCACTTATGCCAGATTTGGCCTCAGGCCTCACCTGGCCATGAAACCACTTCTCAGTCAAATGTGTAATATCTTTTGGATCCCCTGAAAATGTGACAGGGTATCAAAATGTCTGTAATTCCTGAACAGTTGATGCAATATTTTCTTAAACCCCGTGAACCAAAGCTGAAAGCCTACACTATTCACATCTTGTTTGATTTAAAACCCACTGTGGTGATGTACAGGGGCAAAATTATGAGCATTGTTTCATTTTATAAATATTTACTGTATGCAGTAAAGCCCCCTTGCACTTGTTGGTTTGACAGCTGTAACCAGATTAAACTAAGAATAAGGTCATTTTGTGTATATTTTTCAAAATTCGGTTTTAGTTAGTTTTGCAACTACAGTCTTTTTACATCTTTTTCTGGCGTCCAGTTTTTGTTTTTATTTCAGTGAACTAAAGTGTTTCGTTCACACCTAGCTTTAGTTTTAGTCTAGTGTTTGTCCACTGTAATAGCCTACATACAAATTCACACAGTCCTTAAAACAGATCTTAGTAGCCATAATTAATAAAACCACCGGTGTGGCAGCCTTATGGTTGTACTTGTTACATTTTAAGTTATATTATATTTTAAGTTAGCCCACTTCTTCTCTGGCACATGGAACCTCTAAACTCTAACTTTCTTGTAGCTGAGACAGTAGATTTCTCCTATCCAGATGATGATGGCAAGACCAAACAAAGCATCATCAAGGAGGCATGGCATCCCAACCAGGTTACCTCTTACCCTACTGTGAACTCTGAGTCTCATGTCACCTACACCTGGATGAAAAACGGGCACACAGAGTGCAGCACAACCTGTGGCACTGGTAAGAAGTTAGTTCATAGTTCTCAAATCTTAATCTGATAGTGCTAACAGTATCTACACCTGGGGCCATCGGGAATGGCAAGTTGTAAAGACAAGAAAAGCATATAATAATAGCTTACACAATCAAAGATGGCCACAGTGGGCAGCTCTGCATGTCTGATTTGGCAGATATTATCTCAGGGATTTGTATGTTCTCCCGGGATGAAACCAGAGGTCTCTCACTTGTTTGGTAAATATGTAAACTACTACACCATAGAGCCACTAAAATAAAGAAATCAAGTCGCTAGCTGAAACAGTCTCTAGGACAATGGGCTTCTACATTACTGTGCATAAGCACACATATATTTCACTCTCCTATTAAATTTTTCCCCCTGGGTGTTTGTCTGTGTTTTTGCCAGGCAAGCGTCAGGTGGTCCTGGAGTGTGTTGAGAAGGATTCCCAGACGGCTGTTCCCGCTGACTTTTGTCACCCTGCCATTGAAACAACAAAGTGGGAAGAAGACTGCAACATACAGCCCTGTCCTGCATAGTGAGCAACACCCACAGACACCTGATGTCCTATTCTGTTAGATGTGGCTAATGCACAGACTGAGCTGCATATAAACTACACATGACGCACACAGTATTACTTCCACATGGTGCTGTGACTCTCGGGGTGAACCCTGATCACTTGCACACGTCCTAGCCGTAAGTCGGCCAGTAAGTCGCACTAAATCTCTTTGGTGTGGCTTCATTTTTCATGTCGTGCGGTAAATACCACTCTGCTTTACTGCTGCCAAGATGTTAGGACATTAACTTTATGTTTGGTTGTGGGTCTGTCAGATATTTTGCCCACAGTCTCAGTGATCCATGATTGCTGTCATCATGAAATATATGTTTATGTTTTTACTTGGAATGTGGCAGAAACAGAGGGCTATAAAACCAAGACATGAGTAGTAAGAAAAGTAAAGACTTCTGAATTTGTGCAGCACTTTTTGGGCTCCAGCGATAGCCTTTTGTATGATCTGTTTTTCTCTAAAAACAAACACTAACGAGTAACCTTTAAGATGGTGGGGAAGTGGTCACACAAAATTTTAATTTATACAGCGCTGAATCACAATAACAGTCCCCTCAAGGCACTTTATATATTGTAAGGTAAAAAATTTATAGTGACATGAGAGAAAACCCCAGCAATCAACTTCCTATGAGCAAGCACTTGGCAACAGTGGTAAGGAAAAACTCCCTGTTAACAGGAAGAAACCTCCAGCAGAACCAGGCTCATGGAGTGGCTGGTTGGGGGTAAAGGGGAGGAAGATACACTGTGGAAAAGAGGAACTTAGTAGTTGTGGTCACCAAGAAGACAGAGCTAGGACAAAGACAATTTGGTGAAGGTCTTTAGTAAACTTATGCATCAACATTAAAGCACATCACGTCTCTATTCTCTTGGCTAACAGCTGGGACGTAGGTGAGTGGTCAGAGTGCAGTAGAAGGTGTGGACCTGGGACCCAGCATCGCCAGGTCATCTGCCGCCAAGTCACCGACGTTCACGCCAGTGGGACAGAAACTTCAGTTACTGTGAAGTCAGAGATGTGCGGTTCATCTGACATGCCAGTGACCCAGTCTACGTGCCAGCTGAAAATCTGCAGTCAGTGGGATATACGATCAGAGTGGAGCCCTGTGAGAAAACACACATTTCATGAATACTTATGAACAGCTGTAGTATGAGGAGTGTAATTTTATCAGTCGTGGGGGAAGTCTTAAGGTATTTAAGTAATCCAGACAAGTCTCCACTGCTGCTACGTCCTCAGCTCTCTAGAGGAAAAGCGGAGCAATGACAATCATCTAGTATGTGTGGAGAAGGCTGAGGCACAGTTAAAATGTTTTACAACACAAAACACCATAAAAAAATGGAAAGAAACAGAAAAAAATGACAGAACCAACCAAATGTGGTACATGTGATGGTCGTTTTACTCTAGACTATAGCTAGCCCAGTCTCTAGAGTAGGAAAACCATCCAAAATGGTAATATAACAACTTACAGACCCCCCCAAAAAAAGAACAGGACTTCTTAAGGTACGTTTAATTTTAACACACATACCAGCCAACATATAACATGTTATTTTTGCAACAAACCTAGAAAACTAGCCAGACAGCTAAAGTCACAGCTGCCTCTTTTAAGCCAGCTGTTGCAATTAGCTGGAGCCTGACTAGAGCACAGGACTGAAGCTTTGAATCAATCAGCAGTGGTGGTGGGCAGGCTGAAGACCAGGTGCAGAGACCAATCAGGAGAAGTAGAGCATGTGAAACAATTAAATCATACAAGCTGTAAAGAGTGGAAGACCCAAAGGAGTAAAAATAAAAGCACTACCACTAACCAGCAAAGTATAACTAGCTGACAACATTGTGTGTAATGTGTATCTTGTGCCATTCATTTCAGCAATACAGCCATGAATGGGCATTTAGGAAGACAAACATGCATAACTCACAATCTATAGCTGCAGCAAAGGAATTTACATGTCACTGAATAAAAGGAACTCAGTAATTTTCATGAGAAACAAATCTAGATCTCTCATCTTCTCCTCCAGTGTTCAGTACCATGTGGAGTTGGCCAGCGCACCAGGGAGGTGGTGTGTGTGAGCAACCAGGGCGATGTGGATGATGATCAGGAGTGTAACATGAACCTGAAGCCAGACACTATAGAGAACTGTGACATGGGACTTTGTGCACGCAGCTGGTTCACCTCTATCTGGAGCCAGCGGGTAATATTGAAACTGTTTGTGTTAGATATTGTGTTTGAGGAGACTGTGACAGGACGTGCAAATAAAATAATGTTACATTTCAAAATGGGACCAAATAAAATGAAATGTGTGTGTGATGCTCCTTAGTGCTCTGCAGAGTGTGGTAGAGGCAGTCGAACCAGGTCTGTAGTATGCCTGATGGATCATGTGACAAATCTGCCTTTGGATAACTGTGAAGGGGAACGCCCGCCAGAAGTGACATCATGTGATTCAGGGCCATGCCAAAATCGTCTGGAGTGGTACACAGGACCTTGGAGTCAGGTAATTCACATGCACACACACACACACACACACACACACACACACACACACACACACACACACACACACACACACACACACACACACACATCATTGCAAACTGTGCAAACAACATCCATTTGAAGACTCACTTATGTGTGTGGGTAATTTAAGTGTTCTGCAGAGTGTGGGAATGGCACACAGACCCGAAGTGTGGCTTGCATTTTAAACAGCGATGGTCAAATGGAAGTTGTGGACCAGTTAAAATGTTCCAGTCTTTCGAAGCCAATCACATCTCAGCCCTGCAGACTGAAGCCATGTGGTGTCCAGTGGTATGTTACGGAGTGGAGTGCGGTAAGTGTACCCAACGTCTAAATCAGTTCTGGCAGCTCCAGATTCAGCATCTTTTATCCAATATATCCACTATTCCTCCTCTGCACACATCCAAACCATCTCAGCCTTGTCTCTCTGACTTTGTCTCCAAACTGGTCAACATGACCTGCCCCTGTTATATAATACTTTCTAATTCTGTCAATTCTGGTCACTCCCAATTAAAATCTCACCATCCTCAGTTATATCACCTAAACCTCGGCCTTCTGTCTTTTTGTCATTGCAGCTATCCTTGTGGCTATCCTTTTGTCACAAATCATCCCTAACATTCATCTTTACCCACTCCACCCTGCCTGCCCTCTTTTCTTCACCTCTCTTATACTCTTTCCTTTGCATGGGATGTTTAATCTCATTTACGTTGACTAACTCTACTCCTTGCAGCTTCACTGTATCCCCTTTAATGTCTTTAAGTCATAGACCACTCTACATTTTTACTGAGACTTTTCCTCATTAAAGATCTGCAGTTATCCCAAGGACAAGATTTCTTTTTTTTAGTGCAACAGGAGACCATTAAAATGCATTTTTCAGTATCTAAAAACATGTTTTTTTAAAAAACAAAACTGAACCAATTTGTGACAAACTGGTTAGTTTGTGTGTAATCTGTCTTCGTCCTACGACCTCAGTGTTCACGGACCTGTAATGCTGGCTTCCGCGTGCGCGAGGTCCGTTGTCTTGCTGACAACATCGTCCCAAGCGATCGCTGTGATCCCAGCTTTATCCTGGAGAGTCGAGAAGAATGCAACAAACAGCCTTGTGTAGCTGAAATAGGTAAGCATGCCAAGCAGTGTTGTACGACAGCAGTTCAGCTGCATACTGCACGGTCAGTGTTAGACCCCTTACATCACAGAGAGCTCAGACGATGAAGATGCTGATCCAGATCCAACTGCCTCAAACAAAAAGAACTCAGAGCTTAATGTGGTCCATATACAGTACATTTGATTCTTTTGTCTTGGCGTCTTGTAGGATGATTAAATTAGTCCCACCTCTTCTATCAAGGTTAGCCAGTTTAGTAGTTGCTCCAAGCAGATGACTGCACTAAACAACAGACAGAAAATACAATTATTTAAAATATCTTTACCCTTTCCCCCCCTCTTTTCCTTCACAGATCCATTATGCAGTGATAAGTATCATAACTGCATGGTGGTGGTTCAAGCCAGACTGTGTGTTTACTCATATTACAGAAGTGTCTGCTGTGCGTCCTGCTCTCGTGCCCAGGAAACACACCCCAACTCTTTTCAAAACAATCACATACGCAGGTGATGCTGCAGTGAAACTCAAGGAACAAACAGCTCTGTGATGACATCAACTTACTGTTGAAGACAATGAAGCTTTAAAATTGGGATGCCTGAAACTTTTTTGTCCTCACAACAACACACAGACAAACACGCATGCTCTTTCATAGGACGTTCACAATTTTCAAATCTGCAGTCCAAGTGTAACATTAAAGTGGACACATTCAATGTTTACTTGTATATTTATTCTTAATAAAGTTTCTGTAACTTCTGGTATTCTACTGCTTTGTTTCACTTTTTATTAAAGAAATATTACAAAATTAAAGAATATATTAAATAATATATAAAAGTTTAAAGAAACATTATTAAAAAAACTGATCAAATATACCTGCTTTCTATCAAATGTATTCACTTTGTAATAGCTGTTCCCGGTTTAGGTCTGTGACTGGTTGATATCATTAGAGTTAAGTTGTCTCGATAAATAAGGAGCCAGCTGTGACATGATCAGGTGTGAAATGAAGCGCCAGCATGAAAGGACCGCGCAGGCCATCGTTACCTTTTTTTTTTTTTCACTGATCTAATGCTGCTGCACGGCAAAATGTTTGTGCCCAATTCTGGAACCACTGACGAGTTTAGCCATTGAAGGGTCTATAGCAAGAAATTAACCTACAACTGGCAGATTTTGCTCAACATGATTTTCTTTTAACTAAAATGTCCTTAACGTCTGTTAGTAATACTACATAATAATGGCTACATTGAAACATGCTAAATTAGTGGTGGTAACTTTTCATTTTCATAAAGATGGGGTTCTTAATGGTGACGCTCTCTGTGCAAAAGGTTTTGGTAGTTGTACTTTATTTTTGCAGCATGTTGTAGTTCTTATAGAGTTTTTTCCCCCTTGTGTTTTCGCCACATGCTTAGGTATCTAATTGACTATCTTAGTTGTCACATCGTCACCCATTCTTTATTTATGTCATACTGTTTTGAACTGGCAGTGTGAAGGGATCTAAACAGAATCCATCCATCCATCCATCCATTCGCTTCCGCTTATCCTTTTCAGGGTCGCGGGGGGTGCTGGAGCCTATCCCAGCTGTCATAGGGCGTAAACAGAATCCTTAAAACCTAATGGTGATTCCAAAGCCTAACAGTGTGAAAATATTTAAACTGTAACACAGGATCTCAGATAACTTCGCAAGACCTCAGTTTAACTGGAAACTGTTATTTTAGATGGAGTAATGCCTAAGGTTTTTACCATGATGCATTAATGTGGAAGACAAGTAGGTTGAGGTGGACTTTTAATATAAAGTTATGCCTTATATTTTAGAATCTCAGTCTCAGTTACATGCCTTAATTAAAATATCTGCGCCACACCATAGCCAATAAATAATGTGGAGTGAAAGTAATGGAGGTGTGAAGTAGAACTACGAGGGAACTCGAGTACATTACATTTGCACTAGAGTAACTAATACTTAAACTGTTACATTTCTGCACTAGTGCAAAGAGCAGACCACAGACTGTTAGCTGAATGCTTAATACTTCAAAGATCTCATCAACCCATTTCTGTATGTGAAAGCAATTTTGTAACTCCAATTTCAATGAAAGAGAAAAAGGTGGACATGTTCTTACTACACATTTAATCTTTGCAATACTCTTTTTCAGCCAAGAGATCACATTAGCTTTGTATCCATTTAAGATAGTAAGACCATTTCTTTAATGGGACAGCTGGGCTGACAGCATGTAAAAGGCTGTAATTCAATCGCATGAACTTCAAGCACAAAAAGAGACATTAAATGAACACCAGTGACAAATGCACATTGCATTCTCAGTTTCTTACAAAACAAATTAAATGTAGCACAGGGATCAAAACTCTTGCATACCCACTCTCCCATCTTGTAGCTATACATATTTATTAGCAATGTTCCCAAGGTGCTCCAGGGTCTTTCGGTGTCCGTGGATGCAAGACTGCACCAGTAAGTCCATGCTTGCAGGCTGTTGAGGATGTGTGACAGGAAAACACTTTCAGATTGAGCCTAGGCCTTTGGCATTGAAGGATGCAAGGTCCACATTCACCAAAAAAAAGTCTTTACTAAATTGCTCGGACACCAGTACCCCAAAAACATTCAAGGCTCTATCCATGCTGATAAACTTTATCCCATAATAATATATAGATATATATTTATATGAACAGAAATGCAACCACATGTCCTTTTTTTTTTTTTTTTTTTGCCATTTTCTGCTCTTAATAGGTTTTTTGTTTGTTTTTGCTTTGTCCTTGGCATAAGGGGACCAGACAGTTGGATGTTAACGTTACCGTTTCTATGATAAACTCTCTAAAAACACAAGTTAGCTTACCTGACCCCTACCCTACCTCACCCCCATCCCAACCCCTTATTGTCCTAAACTTGAACAATCACCATTTATACAAGTCAGTTCTGAAAATACTATGGCAAGTGACAGTTTCCACCTCAATGTCATTGTGAACAACAAAGAAAAATATATATAGTTCACTCCTCGTTCGATTTGTTCAGCTTATCAAATGCAATAACTGGTCTGTTATTCTTTGTTGCATCGTACCAACATTCACGGATTTTCAATAATGTAGAAGTTGTACAAAGACATAAATACAGTAGGATACAATACAGTAAAAAATACAAAATAAAGTTGATATAGATTTTTTTCCTTAAATGATAATTTACCAGAGGCAAACCCAGAAATGGATCTTTGACACTAGGCAAAAACACCCCCTGAGGTCAAATGATAAAATAATAACCACGTCTCAAAGCCAACTCCCAGATAACTCACTACTTTGTCATTTATACATAGTGTGCTATGTACAGGACTTATAGGCAAAATGTGGGGGTCCTGTGTGGCACAAAGTTAACATGTTTTATGCAAGTGCACTAGTTTGGGTTTTACTTACTAGCGAGACATTAAGCTAAGGAAAACGTGAAGGCACAATTATCTGAGGGAGAGCATACCTCAGGAATCAAACAACAGTTGTGGTGTCAAGAGTCAGATTGAAAAAAAGGAGAACCACGGGAGGAAATAAAAGTGTACAGTTTAAAGGTATGGTTCAGGGTCTTAGAAGGACGAGGCAGTGAATCAAGTTAAGGCCAAATTACTTAAGATCGTCCAATCAGAACGCTCCAACAGTAAAGACGATGTTAGACCTGACAAATCAGAGATTTGAAATACAACATTAGTTTAAAACCAGAACTCTTCTATATTTTGTCATAGCCTGGCTCGCTACACAGGAATTCTTTCCTCAAAGTTAAGTCAATTATATTAAACAAGGCTTTTTTTGCTGTTATTTCAGAAATTGTTATTATGCACAATAATGTATAAATGTATGTTACAAGAATATACATGGGCTTCAGTCTATAATATCTCAGTAAGGAGTACATCCAAGCATTCAGATTGCGGACTTTGGCTTTTAAAAGTTAGTCTACATATGCACAAATATGAAACTCACATAGAAAATGCACCATAGAAAAAATTAACATGGGAACCCCCCCCCAAAAAAAACAAAAACAAAAACATGGAAATGGACTAAATGGCTCACACACTGATCTGTCACAAACACTCTCTCAAAGAGAACCAAGAAAAAACAAAAAGAAATGTTTTCAAGTTTCACCTTTTCATACCCCACACATTTTATCTGCAGTCACAGATTTGTTCAGAGTTGAGAAGAGACAAGAAATACAAAAAGGACCAAAGATTCGGGTTTGGAGGGCTTTTAGGGGTAAGGTTCAAGTTTGTCATTTCTCATGTGCAAGTCAATATAAAAATGCTACTCGTACACTGCTTTTGTCGACAACACAGGTTCGGGGCAGGCCAAACCCCCTGTAGTTTGCTAAATTTTTTAAAAAGGGGCTTGGAAATTGGCAGGCCAGCTTGCTCGTCAATGCAGAGTTTCCACTGCACTGAATTTTCTTCTCCAGCTCTTTGCCTTCTCAGTTTATCAACTCGTGGGAAGAAGGAAGAGCAACTGTGGGAGTCTGCCATCTTGTGCCTCTTCTCTGTTATGACTGAAGAGTCATCTCCTTTATGTACTCAGAATCGCCACTCCTCACTCTCATTCCTATGACTTCTGCTTAGATTGACTGTTCTGTTCATCTAATTACCCTCCGTATGTCTCTCACTCGCTGTCAGTCTCTAGCTCTGAGTCAGACCACTGCACTGGGCTCAGCTTCCCATTCCGCTGGGCATACTCAATGATTGCTGTGTAGCAGAAATAGTACTGATCCCAGGTCTGGATGCTGAAAGCCCTCTGTGTACGCATCCGCCGCACCGTCTGACAGACATCAACTGTGCCAACATCCTCCAGCTGGGACAGGCAGATGTCCAGTGTGCAGAATGTGCCTAAACAGCCATAAGGGATGAATATCGAGAAGTTACACTTAAAAGAACTCAATTAAAAAGGTTTTTGTTGGACACAAGACAACAGATTAAAACCTAAAAATAAATGCAAAAGTTAAGACTACAGCTCAGCAGAAGGGAAGAGGTAATTCAAGTAAAAGTCATTGTCTAAATAATACAAGGCAATACGACCTGCATACACAATACCTTACATTTGTTTACCAGATTCACATTTGGTGGGATTTTAATTTTGTATATCAACTGCATGAATTACAATTAGGAAGGCAAGGCAGTGGCACTGATATATAAAGACACAAAAGTGGCTCACACACTGGTGAGGTACTTTTAAAATAACAGGCTGAAGATTGACCAACATGTCCTCCCACTTCAGCTGGCTGCAGGGATTTCCTTTAACTTAAAGAGAAGCCTTTTACACAGTATCAGCCCTCTGAGCTAAACAGGCACTGTAAAAAAATACTTAAGTGTTATGGGACAGATGCAGATTGCTTTACTATCTTCTGTGCTTTAAACTTAATAACCAATTTCTTGGGCTATTTAAAGGTTAGCTACCATTTATTTAAAGTGGCACCAGCTCCAGGTTCAAACAGTAAAGTAAAACTCTCAGATGAGATTACTTTAAGATGCATAAGAGCACTATAAATCTATATTTAAAGTATTTAAATCAGATGACTACGTCTTTACTAGGATGTGTGCAACTATTCAACTACACAACTAATCATCCCTAGTGTTACTAGTCGGTACCAGACGTGCTAGTAGTGTAATCTAATTGTAAACATTTGAATTGATGCCCAGTGCTGGTAAATTGCTATGTACTGAATGTTATGCAGCCATCTGCCACCAGATGGAGCATCAATATTGAGAAAGACCATAAATATGTTGCTCTAGGTCTGATCTTTTGTTAACACTCTTATTCTTT